CCAGTTCAAGCTGGCGGCGCAGTGCCGAGCGGCCCGAAGTACTGGTCCAGATGCGCGACAGTCGCCAACGTCTGGCGTTCACCAGGCGTAGCACAGAAGCTGCGGAACGCTGCCGATGGATTGTTCGACGCAGCGGCGTCGGCCACGCACTTCAGCAAAATGCCAGGCCGCCCTCTCCGCGGGAGGCGGGGGCGCATTGATTCAATAGAATCAGTGTTGGTTCGCGGCCGCGCAGTCTTGGGGCCAGTCTTCAGCGCCGTCTTCCAGAACGTTGTCGAGAAGAAGCGCAAGGCGCCGCGCGTCGGCACAGAGGAGGATGAGCGGTTCAAGACTGACCAGAAAAACTACCGCTACACCGCTGTGACGAGCGTTAATGACCAGGCGTTCTTGGCCACTGTAGTTATTGCCAACGTAGCCAAGCGCCCGCTCATGGGTTTCTATCATTGGCTCCAGAAGCGGGTGAAGGACCCGATGGCAATCCAACCGCAGTCTTCTATCATCGCCCCCTGGTCATGCCTTGCTTCCCCCACCGCCACCCCCAGATCTCCGCCGCTCCCTGCTGCGGTCACGCGAGCGCCGTCTGATGGGGCAACATCGCCCGACAATCGTCCCCAACGGTCGCGATGGCGGCTTGCAGTAGGGGGGCGGGTCTGCGCGTGTGGTGGGGGGGGGGGGGCGCGACCTGTCAGGAACACAACAAGACCGTGGCGGCCAACGCGTCCAATGGCATTACGTATGTCGGCCCGACGCCAATGAGTCTGATGGTTGCTGGCCGCGCCGAAGGAGTTATGAACGAGATTGGTGAGCTGCTTGCCCCGACTGCGCCAGACGACGAAGGAGTCTGGGGGCCTCTGTGGCCCATGCTTGGGGGCAGGTCCGTCAGAGTGGAAAAGGCAGCGGAGGCCATCGTAGCGTCGGTCTTGATTGTGGGATGCGGATGGGCGTTCCGATTTATTCGGCGACTGGCAGACTTCCCATATCTGTGGCTCATGTTTGCCGAAGAGCCAGCCGATCAAGATTGCCCGATGCGCCGCAGGCTTGCGACCGAGCTGGTGGACAGACTTGACCATCGGGCGTGTTGCTTGCAGTGGCACTTCGGGGACATGAGTGCCAAGTGGGCGGCGCACTTCCGACCGCAGTTGGAAACGGCCAAGGCGACGGGCACGTGCCCAGCAGACTTGTGCGCCGCGACGTTGATGCTGAGACGCGCGTGGCCCATCGACACACAAGAGATAGAGGGCATGAGTTCCATATTGCAGACGATGGTCGCCCGAGCCCCGTTTCTGCACACTCCGCTCGCAAGTGACAGGATGCAGCTCAAGAAAGGCGATGGAGTGACGGCGACTGAGTGCATCACCAACCACAAGCGGGGACTGCAGTCAATGGTGGCCGAGCAGGCGCTCTGCCGTTTCAGCGGGCCTGTGGTCGACGTGAGCCCACCTCCAGCTCGCCCCGCCCAGTGCGCTCACAAGCGCTGCCCGTCTATGATAATGCCGATACGGTACGCTTTGGCCTTGTGCAGGCGGCAAGAACAAGGCGTGCAGTACGTCTGGGACGGCCCTGAAGGTTTGCCGCCGTTCGTGGCCCCGTGGGCGATCGGCGCGGAGCTTTGGGCGTGCAAGGGTGAGTTTGTGGATTTGGACGGCCGCGTCATCTTCAAGCTGACAGCGCCAATTCACCCAATGCCTTTGTTCGAAGCGTTCCACGAGCACGCAGGGGGTGCCTACGCAGGAGGCGACCGCAAGAAGCGGGACACCGCAGTTCTCCGATTGCGGCGCCAGCGGCTGCTTTGGGGCAGGGCGCTGCACGCGCGTGTCTTGGGCGAGTCCGCGACCGCCATTGGCCTTGACCCTGCGCCGCCGCCGAGGCCGAAGAGACCCGGGCCAGATGCGTCGGGCGGGGGTGGCAGCGCTGGCAGCGACGGCGGCGCTGGCGGCGGCGCCCCCGCGGCGCCAGCGCCCATGGGCGATGCCAGCCCCGATGGCGACGACAACCTCAGCGATGGCGACGACGGGGACTTGGAACGCCATCTAGAGCGGCTGATGGAGGAGGCCGAGGCGGCGGAGATGGAAAAGGCATCCGCGGACGAGGAAGAGTTGGCCATGCGCTTGTCGGCCGCTGACGCAGAGCTTGCTGAAGCGCGGCTCCTGGACCCAGACGGACAGGACGACGTTGAAGAAGACGATGGCCTCTTTGAGGGCGGCGCCGCAGTTGCGCCTGAAGACGGCGCTGACGCTTTGCTTCCAGAAGACAGGGATGCTGATGGCTTGTTGCGCCCGCCCGCCGCCATGATGCGGGGCGAGCTGATTGACGGCGGCGTAGAGGGGGCAGTTCCATTCGCCGATAGGAACCGAATGGCCAAGGAGCGGCGAGACGCCATCGCGGAGGCGCTAAGAGTGGCCGCCGCCCAGTCGATTGCAACGCACCCCACGACCCATGGAGTGATCTCGCTCGTGAAGACCACGGACAACGCTTTCTTTATCAGGTGGGACGCAGTGGTTGGCCAGGGTCGCGAGATTGCGTTGGACCACCTCAACAGGGTCAAAACAATTGTCTTCTTCCAGGCGGAAAAGATCAGCATGGCCGACACCCCGATGGAGATCATCATTCGGGACACTGGCGTTCGCATGATCAAAACCACTGGGGGCAAAGCGGAACGCCCCCTGATGCCTGAGTGGTGCTTGCGTTTGAAGGACCACGCCGAAGTAACCATGTTCTGCGGCCCCCGTCCTGCAGAGCTTAGCTTCGGAGGATGCGCCATGTGCAAGGGTGCGCTGAAGGATGCGTACAACAAGCCCCCCTGGAACGACCACTTCGTTTGCACAGTGTGCCACAGCGCATACCACTACGCATGCGCAGCGGTAGACCTGGACGGAGCAGACTTTGGCGCGTTCGTTTGCATCGCGTGCTCCCGCAGGTAGAGGCGCCCGACGCGCTGCATGCAGAATTAGCAGTGGCCTTAGCATCGCGGTTCTGATCGGCTGGCGCCATCGGCGTAGTACATGCGATCGCCGCGAGATCGGGGCTGACCCTCGCTGCTCACCGTAGATCGGGGGGCGATCGGATCAACAAGTCTACGATTGCAAGCAAAGGCCACCCATTGTTTATGTACAACGGCGTGGTTCGCGGGCAACCCGTGCGTGATGCGGGGCAACGTGTTCATCGCTGCTGCAAGCCAACGTGCATGCGGCCGCGCGCAGGCCGCTGTATTCCCGAGGAATGGCGGCGGCGTTAATGCAGGACCCGCATCAATTGATAACGCGCGCGGCACGGGCATCGTGAGTGCACGCGCAGCGCTCGTCGACTCGGGTCAGCCGAACGACGCAGACGCCCCCCCGCGCGCACATTGCACGCACATTGCGCAGATCACGCCTGCTGGGCACGCGCAAGGTTGTTGCCGCGAGGGCGCGCCCGCGCAACGCACATTGCGTATCTGCATGCCGAGGGGGTTCCTGCATCATGCGCTCGCAACACGTGCATGGCGCGGTGCGCGCATGTGTGTGCCGCACGTGTGCAGTTGAGCATGGCGTTGCGCGTTGTGCACGCGAGAAAACCATTTGCGCCCTGCGCGCACGGGGTAGCGCTGGGCTTGCAAAGAGCAGGGGGGGTCCAGGGCGAAATGCGATCGCGTGGGGCGAGCGGCGCGTGCGTTGGTTGCAAC